ACTTTTAAGCCACGTTTATGATTAAATCTTGTTTAAGTAAATGACTTAAGTAAGCATTTTTGTTTTGCTAACCAATACCATAGTACAATAAAACAAGTATGGTAATTTCATACAAATGTACCACCGCGACATGTATATATATATATATATATATATATATGTATATATACTTAAAACTCTACGCAAAATTGATTTAACCCTAGAAAGATAATTTGATGACAAGTTAATGTGCGACAAATGTAAAAAACCCCATTTGCGCAAAGCTCATTATCACAGACAAAAAAAAATATACACACAATCAAAATTATGTGTACTTAAACTGTCACACGCTGAATCGACGTATGGTTATCTTTAACGTACTATAAAATATGGTTATCTTTCTAGGGTTAATGATAAAAATTACGGATAAATTGGAGATGGCGTTGCAAGTTAACAATGTATACCATTGAATATGTAAAATAGAAAAGTAAATAAAATATGACAAACGCACATTGTTCTTGGATCTCCATTAGAAGAAACAGCACAAAGAATAAAATTCCGAGAAATACACAATAGCAAAAATACCTTGCTAAAGAGTCACCGATAACAGTGCGGTTGCAGCGTAACGATGCGTTCACTTCCGAGATCAAGAAGTAAGTGACAAATAAACAAAAAGGTAATCTATTTATTGTATTTAGAGCCTTGTTTATCGGTTTATTGAAATGTATACATATATTAAAGATTTGCCGGTACTCATTTTCTTAAATTATGACCTATGAAGCAGCCCAGTGCGCCGCGCGCTGTATATTATGGAGGCACACATTCACATTATCTCGCAGTGCACGTAGTAACTATTAAGTAGCCTGTGGCAGTGCACTCTCGTCGATAACACGCTCTATTAATTATAGAACTGCAGCGCTCCTTCAAAGTTTAAAAAATGACATCAAATAAATAATGCACACTCTCATAGCCCCGTACTAGGGACACCCTGTATTGCGGGTGCCGTGGACATTACACCCAAACTCACGAAAGAAATAAATGTAGTTTATACAAATATTTCTTCCGGCCCGGGAATATAACCCAGGAGCGTGGAACTGCAGCGTAGTAACCGTTCGACAACGGAGGCTGTTACTTAAGAACTGTTCAGCATTTCAATTCTATTTAACTGTCTCCGTGGCCGAACGGTTACCATGTCGGACTGCCACGCTGCCACGCGGAGGTCACAGGTTCGATTCCCGGGTTGGGAGAATTTTTTTTAAAAGTATCAAGTGACGGGACGAACAAGTCGCACGATTCCCGCCTTATGATTCGCTACACGCCTGTCCATAACTTTAAATCGCAAAGACCTGGGGGCACTGCCGCTACGCCCGTCTTTTTTTTTCTTTTTTTTTATGAAGGATATTTTGCAGTTGGCCGCTGATGGCTTTGACTGCGCCACCGGAGAAAAGGGCGAGCTGAAGGCTCATAACCCCTGCTACGTCGGTCACCCTGAGATATAAGTTGACAAGTCCCACGTGCCTGTAATTTCACTAGCCTTTGTGTGTTATATTTTATTTATTTTATTTATTTATTTATTTTATTTTATTTGGGGAGCTTACAGCTACTTTTACAAATTACATATCTAAGTATGCAAAGAAATGCCAATTAAAAGCTTCCACATATATACAGAAAAATTATAAACTAAACTACTTTCAAATCAACTATGCTAACTAACTTAAGACACATCTAATTTCAAATTCACATTACAAATTAGAAATGAACTTTTGGGTCAACATAGATTTGACTTCCAGAACGCTGTCGCAGAATAAATCCATGTTGAGGTCATCATTGAGTACATTGAATAGTGCTAACGTTCTTGGCAAATAACTATTTTTTCTATAATTAGTTCGACTAATTGGAACATGGAGCAACTCCCGCCTACGCAATTTCCTAACTGGAATTTTAAATTCAACCTTGCTGAGGAGCTCAGGACAATCAATTCTACCTTGTGCTATATTCAATAAATAACAAATATCACACATATTTCTCCGCAGATGCAATGGTAACAGGTGGAGCTTTACACATCGGTGTACGTAGTCCACTTCAGGTAATTTAAATTTAAAACTTAAAAATCTAGTAAATTTAGCTTGTATTTTTTCAATTTTATTAGAGTAAATTTCATAAAATGGATTCCAAATTTGGGACGCATATTCTAGATGCGAACGGACATACGTACAGTATAAAATTTTAAGGGTTTTCATCTTCCTAAAACTACCCGAGACTCGGATAATAAATCCTAAGGCTTTATGTGCCTTATCACATATGCGAGAAATATGGTCATCAAACAATAATTTGTTATCATGTGTCACTCCTAAATCTCTCCCAAGGTTGTTGCCAATAAGACTCAATTTTTTTATTTTGTAAACATGTTTAAAAATATTTTTCTTACGAGTAAAATTGATATAGAAACATTTAGAAACATTTAAATCCAGTTTATTGGCAGCGCAATATAAGTCCAGCCTCTCCAGATCCGCTTGTAAAAGCATCGCGTCCGAGATATCATTAACAACTCTGAAAATTTTCATGTCATCAGCAAATAATAGAAATTTTGAATGTAAAAAACACGAACCGACATCATTGATGAATATGACAAATAAAAGAGGACCTAATAAAGAACCCTGGGGAACACCGGATGGAATGCTTACCCATGAGGAAGCAAAACCATTAAGTACTACTGACTGGGACCTAAGTAAAACATATGACGTGAACCATCGGTACAGATCACCACTTATACCGAGAGATAATAACTTAGACAATAGGATATTATGATCAATACGATCGAATGCTTTGCTGTAATCCGTATATATGGTATCGACCTGATTACCCGCATCCATATTATTGGTAAGGAACTCGTTGAATAAGATTAGATTCGAAACCGTGGATCTACCCCTGAGAAAGCCGTGTTGTTGTGATATAAAACTTGACTTAACGGACTCATACAGTTGATTAAAAACTACACGTTCTAATATTTTAGCGAGTAGACATAGTTTGGATATAGGCCTATAGTTCTCAATATCAGTTCTGGATCCTTTTTTATGAATGGGTGTAATAAAGGCCGATTTCCACAATAAGGGCATAATACCTTCTCTGAGCGACCTTTTAAATAAAATGGTCACTGGTGCAGAGAGCTCATGGGCACAATTAATTAAAAACGTAGCGGGTAAGGTGTCAGGACCTGCCGACTTATTACGGTCGAGACCTTTAAGAAGTGAGTAAACCTGCGTGCTTGAAACCTCAATTGAGGACAAACCGCATGAGACAGAAGGCATATCGTTGTGTGATGGAGCACTAGAGGATGAAGAGTTAGGATCCGAGTCCAAGAAAGTAGAACTAAAATAGACGGAGAAAAGTTCACAAATACCCTCACCTGTATCTGCAGAACGATTTGAATATTTCATAGTAGCCGGGTAGGAACTACTACCTCTCATACGTTTAATGTACGACCAAAATAGTTTCGGATTACTAGTGATTGCAGACTCTATGGTACATATATAATTTTTATAGCATTTTTCTTCCACCATCCTAGCCCTATCACGCAACAAATAAAAAGTTAGTTGGTCAGATATATTACCATAAACTTTGAATTTTTTTAAAAACTTATATTTTTCTTTTATAATTTTTATTAAAGCAGAGTTATACCAAGGAGGATACCTACTGTCCCTAATCTGGCGTTTGGGTACATATTGTTCACGAAGTTGGTACACAACATCGTAAAAGACTTTAGTGGCATCCTCTACATTGCCTGTGTTTAAAATTAATGACCAATTAGTTTTTGATAGACATTGGCAAATTTTGTCATAATCACCATGATGATAAGAAAAAATAGTACGTTTTTCGATTGTTAAGGAATCCAATTCAATAAAGGATGGCTGAATGATCAAAGTAGGATGATATCCGTCCTCCCTTACAAGCGGATCGGGGCACACTGTTACTGAGACATAGTCATTACACAGAACAAGATCTAAAACCCTGTCATACTTATTTTTATTATTATTAAATTGTTGCAAATTGCATTCGCTTAAAACATCAATAAAGTCTAAAATGCAAGTATTTGTTACATTTATTGGTTGAAGACCAATCTCGGAGGGTAACCATAAAATATCACTCATATTAAAGTCACCTACCACGAGAAATTTATCTAATTTGTTACTTTGCATAACATTCAAAAGCTTATTATAAAAGTTAATTAATTGAACAAAGAAAGTATTTCCCCCATTTTGTTCGCATAAATATAGCACACACAAATGAAGTTTAGTAATGAGATTACGTCTAGAACTACGAAGAGTTATGGTTACCCAGATATCCTCGGCACTGGATTGCCAGTCAACGTTATACATCGACAAAAGTTGTCGCTGCACAGCTGTCAAAACACCCCCACCCATAGATTGACCAGTGAGTGTGTAGTCACGATCTCGCCGAAATACCAGATACCTATCATCGAATAATTCACTATCTGATATACTGTCCACTAACCAGGTCTCAGTCAGCAAAACAATGTCAAAGTTATTCATAATTAAGTTACGTAAAAAAGTTGTTGTTTTTGTCCTGAGCCCTCTGCAATTCTGATAATAAATTATAGGATTAGCCATTGCAAATGATTAAAATAACTTTTAAAATATGAAATAAATATAAAGAAAAATAAGTACCTTCACAATAGGCGAGTCTTGCTCCAAGCTCAAGACGTATACAAAAAATAACATGCCGCAATAAAAATAGAAAATAACGAATAAAATAATTGAACAAAACGAGAGTAGAAAAATAAAACATGCGTATTCCAAACTCACTATCGGCGTGGATAGGACGGTCGTTAGCTAATGATCGCACACAAAAAACACAATGAACAAAAGCGCAACAAAGTTGCAAACAAAAGAATTCCACGAGGCAACAAGTGGTTTTAAAACTGTTAAAGTAACTTACTCTTGGTAAATAAAAGTACACAAGTAGTAACTTCATAAAATAGCTATACATATGATTACCATATGTTATTGAATCTTTTGCAAGTCTCTCTCGTTTTTTATTGCTATCACCTTTGACTGCGAATCCCTTCTGGTAAAAATTTTTGAATTCTTCACCCATACAAACTCGAATTCATTTTCCTTTGCCAACTGCTTAGCCTTCGTTAACAATGCTTTATTCTGAATTGTTAGATGGTCGTTAATATAGATTCGATTAGTTCCTTCTAGATTAATATCTGCAGGGCAAAGGGACTTAAGAGAACGCGCCCCGGCAACAAAATCTTCCTTTAAATAGCGATTCAAAAACGAGACTACAATTGGTTTTACTCTATTCTCACGTGACGGAATCCTTGCGATGAAATTGATGTCATGTTTCGAGATTGGTTGATGAATCTTTGCACCAATTTTGGAGACAATGTCAAATAAGTTCTCCCTATCCTTGAGAGGTACTCCCTTAATTTCGACGTTGTTGCGCCGCATCCACTGATTGTTGCTATTCAGATCCTCTTCAAGTTTGGATATTTGGGCCTTCAGCTGACACACTTCATTCTGACCTTTCTCGACAGTTTTAAGCCTTTCGTCAAGACTATTCAATTTTGAAGTAAATTGATCTACATTCGATCGCAGGTTGTTGATGTCAGTTTTTATTGACTTAATGTCAGCCATGACTTCCATCAGGGGAGCCAAAGTCAGCTTTACATTAGTAATTTCAATCATAAGATCCTCCAGACTAAGTGGTTTCGGGGATCCAATGTCTTGCTTAGCAGCAGATGAGGCACTGCACTTGCAATTATGGCACTTCCATGTAGCTTGTCTGCTGGCGCCGAGTTTGCGGTAACCCGCTTCTGTTAACCCTGAACATGGGTAATCATAATGATTTTTACAATTACTGCACTGGATAGCGTCCCTTGTATCTTCACTGCATCTAGTACAACGGAACATCTTGATGACGATAAGAGTGATAAATTGAAGTAGCAAAAGAAAGTTTGAGAACCACAGTTCGACACTAGGTGTGAGGTAGATATATTACGAGCGCAGCGGAACGTGCGTTTCGCCGGAGATCGAACCGTAGAATGATTGTATGGCCTACATTTATTTCTCTAGTGACTTTGGGGGTAACTTGTGGTTGTCTATGTGTATGTCCAAGGCACCCGCGACAGAAGGGTTTCCCTAGTGCGTGGCCATGTTGAGCGTGAGGGTTATTATTGTTATTTCATAATCATACTCTATAAAAAGTTTAAATTATCAGTACGTAAGTACCCACAGCATTTAAGAAAGATTATCTCTGTATAGCACGAGAAAACTGTGATGACCACCTTAATATTTTTCCGATTATGTTTACGAACTGTAGGTATAACTAAAATAATAATGTAACAACCCTACGTTCCGAGCGAAGTGTAGGCGTTTACGCGTCGAACAGGCGGGAGGGAAAATAGAAAAAAATACGGACAAATATCAGAAACAAAATATTTGAATTGAATTTGAGTAAAAATGGTTGTCTTTAGATATTTTTCTACTTCTGTACTTTAATCTGTCAATTATAATTTTTTAAAACATACCACAAAGGTGCGAGATTCGCTCTGGACCTTTTGGAGGGAAAAGTGTCGTTTTTTATTTTGACTTTCAATTATTTTGTGAAATCTAGTTTAAAGTGGAATAGGATAGTGTGCCTTAATCGAAGATTAAAACGCGAAATTATATGAATCTCGAACTAGAATATCCGTATCGGCCCGTTTTAAGGAATCCCGAGTCAATCCAAACACGCCGCCTCAAATTGCCTATCCTCTTTGTTGCCATATTTACAGAAACAAACTTCATGTTTAGGCTGATGGCTTTACCAAAGCCTTAATAAATTTTAAAAAATCACAAAGGTGCTCTTTTTACTTCTGAATCAAAATTCTATTGTCTGTGGTACTCGCTAATCAACTGAAAAATTTATACTATAAATCATATAGATCTGTACACAGAACCATAATGATTTAATGAGTTTCATAAAAAGAACGTCGTATTTTTGCTAATTAAAATATCAAATATGACGCTCTACTGCCTCTTGATTGGTTGGATTCATACGTTTAATATGCAATATTAAATCTATGGTTAAATTGGTCTAAAGGCCTTGCAACCTTTATAAAAAAAAATAAAAGTATAAGTAAATAAAAAACATATGTGCGCGTAATAAAAAAATATGATTGGTTAAAATTTCCATCTTTTGATTTTCGTTTGAGTTTGTTGTCATAGGTTGTTAACAAGATATGCATTAAACGTTGGTACCATTTCATTATTGTAGAAAAAGTAATGTATAATCATTACTTAATTAGGTCCTTAGACCTATCAAATGCGGTACTCGACTTACTCTCATGATGCAATGATTGCATAAAATAATCTTTCATATACAATACAGTTGTATAACGACTACCGAAGGACGAAGATCCAGGTCATGGAAAAGGTACCGCCCCAGATGTTTATGGGTGCCGTCATGCCGTGGTTAAAAGAACCGCAGATTATGAGGTCAAATGTCTCGTCCACGAAGGGTCTTTCCGACATTTATTGAAGTAGAAACTAAAGATACACGAATACGTTATACATTCAAAGAAAAGGAAACCTTTTTGAGGATATATTGTCTGTCGGTACTATGTCAGTCCACCAGGTGTTGTGGAAATCAAATGAATTCCAAAAACACAACCAATTCACAACTTATCCAGTATATAAATCCAGTTTATTGTGTTATGTATATTAGACAAGACATATAGTTATATAGTACATAAGTTGTAAATCTGTTATACATTACATTATGTATATGTAGATCCTTTATAGGCATAAATAAAATTGTTGGTGTTTTGAAATTTTTCAGGGGACCACGTTTTAGTTTTTAAAGACTGTTTTAAAAATATTTACGTCCTGTTTTTAAATTAAATTTTAGTTTTATTTAAGTTTAAGTTTTAAAATTGTATTTAAAACAGGACGTAAACATTTTAAAACAATCGTTAAAACCTCAAACTCGTAGTAAAAACTCATAGTAGACCAACACTATCAGATACCAAGTTATACTATAAATCATTATGGTTCTGTTGGTGCGGATAAGCGCAATATGATAAGCGGGAATTACTATGTATTATACGAAAAGGCAATATTTCACACACGTTGGTGTGTGAAATATTATATTTTCGTATAATAAGGGTAGTGTCTTAACTGTTACCGACATAGAAATGCAAATTCTTAAAGACTATTTGACACAAAATCCTGGTACACCGGGTTCTTATTTATTTATTTTAATTACATAGAGACGAACTTATAAATTTAAACACAATCGTTACGTAATGAGATTTCTTTAAGCCGACTGCCGTGTAATAGGTACTTGCATACAACACTTTTTCTATTTCTGTACTTGAAAGCGTGAATTATAATTAAACGTACGCCGTATCACAAAGGTGCTCTTTTTAGCTCTTTATAAAAATGTATTATCTATGGTACTGGCTACTGAATTGAAAAATTTCATTGTAATTCTACTGTTATAGTGTACACAGAACTATAATGAGTTTCAAAAACAAAAGTTGTATTTTTGCTAATTAAGATATTAAATATGACGTTACTCAAACGCTCTACTGCTTTCTAATTGGTTAAATTGGTCAAAAGGTCTTGCTAAAAAAGATTGGTTAAAATATAAGCGGTATTTGGCCACTTTTATTTTATCCCGGGCTTTTTGTTTTGTAGCGTTTGTTTGGTTTTTAAGTTAATTGTCACGGATTGTTAACAAAATATTTGTTAAATCTTGGTTATGTTTCATTATTTTATTTACTAACTGAGTGACTGGTGCCTGTGGTAGGTTTGAAAAGCCTGTGTTACGTGTAAAAATAATGATTGACTTTATACTTTTGTACATCGTGTGATTTGCTGACTTGTTCACTAGTGTGGGCATACTATAAGTCAAATACCCAATGCAAATACCAACATTATTCGTAAATCGATACATCGTCCGACTACAGCACAAAAATCAACTTCATTTGTTTCAACTTAAATTTTAATGGAATCTTGTTTAACCTTATCATTCTCTTCACATGTTCCAATGTTGTGTCTGCCCGGCATCCGGTGTCCGGCCCTGGCATTAATCGTTCCACATTCATACAAAATGGTGCGATCTTTATTTACAACTTTATTTATGGCCAAATACGTACATGGTGCCTTTATGGGCAGGGAAAGCATTACGAGAAAGTTTTAGAAATTGCTCATCGAGGTGTGATGGTCTCGAATGTGAGGTACGGAAGCGAGTTTTGGATATGGCAGAAAAAATATGAAAGTAGGGTGAATGTTGTTGAAATGTGACCTTTATGCAGTATGTGCGGTGTTAGGTTTTAATAACAGAATGCCGAACGGTGTAGTAACACAGCCTTCTGGTATGAAATATGATGAAGTGTAGAAAAGTGTATGAAATATGTGGTAGTAGAGCTCCTGGTGAAAGAGTTCGTCCAGGGCAGTACTGCCACCTTACCTATTTCTACCATCAAGCAGTAATGTCAGCATTACTGTGTTCCCGTTTTGAAGTGTAAGGGTGCTTGTAAAATTACAGGAACATGGGACTTGTGAACTTATGTCTCAGGGTGACGGGCGCAGTGGTAGTGCCCCTGAGATCTTTGCGATTTAAAGCTGTAACTTAGGCACTACAACTGTTATGGACAGGCGTGTAGCTTACCATCAGGCGCACGACTAGTTCTATACTTTAAAATACGTTCGATTCTATAAAAATAATTTTTTGTCGGAGGGAAAATATTAGATCATAGTACAGAAGAAACGTCCATTAAGGTACGCTTCCACAGTCTTAGCTATTTAAAAGTTCGCCTCGTTGATTGTACTCGTACTTCAAACGAACAAGTCAGGACAAAGAATGGCAAATCTCTTTTGTTCAAGAAAAGGGATCTCGAAGAAGGAAAATTAGAACTGACATGTGTTCTCACCACGCACTTTGCGTAAAAACTGAATACTACCTCAGCACGAATTCAAATTTTTCCCGTACTAATACGGTTCATCTTGCTTGGCTCGAGTAGCAGGAACACTAGATTTATTTCAGAATTTATTTTTTAAAAATCGAAATTAAGGCCATTTGATAAATGTATATCGTATAGAATACGTGTTCTGTTTAGTTCAGTTGCCATAAAAAAATAATTGGTATATGCATTGACCTACCAACAAAGGTATATGTAAAGTTTTGTTGAATATACCGGTACGGTTTAGTATATACTACATCTATGGGTTCTCTTGTAAAATTAAAAAAAAAAACTACCGGATAGCGTGTGTCTATTATATGTATATAAAAACATTTCGAGGTGAGTTTGTTTATTTCTAGCGCGAAAATTTTTACGAATCGCGTTTTCACAACATATAATAATCAGTGTTTATTCTCAATTTTACCATACATTTTTTCTTTATTTTGTATAAAATATTTGATGCTTAGAACAATAACGCATAGAATGATAGTTTCATATCAAACGAACTGTCACAAGTGAGGCAAAAATCAAATTCATCTAGGCTAGTTTTAGTAGTAGGTTAATTTTCGGTTTTAGTGAATATTTATATAAAAATACAAGTTGAAACGCGTTACTTCCTTGTGGAATGTGATTTTAGTATCTATTTTATGTTTGTCTGACGTATTTTTACACTCATTTACCGCACATTTCGTCATTTTTAGCTAAAATTCTTGAGCTGTTCGCGGTGCAAATTGACGTTGAGCGCTGAAAGCCCGCCCGCACGTGTAGTTCAGTTTGCCTCACTTAGCGTGTGCGGACTAGGTTTCTATGCGTTATTATTCTAAGATTTCATGTAATATAATAAGCCCAGTACCAACACTACTGTAAATAATATTACAGATGTGACTAACATTTTTGCACTCCAAAGTAGCAAAATAAGGCATTTATCACACACATCTCATAATCCCTTTATGATGTGTTCAA